CCCATTTGCGGCATTGAAGTCTATGGGGGAGAGAATAGTCTAAAAGTATTATATTTTAGGGCATTATTTTTATCGTAGGAGTATGCAATGAGGGTTGCAGAGTGGATTGTATTTGGGGGTTTGGGGTGGGGTTTGGGGAGGTGCGGGGTGGATTGTGTACCAATGAGGGAGTTTTGCATAATTCCATCTTTATATCACCTGAGCCTGATACTCTGTATCAATAAGGAAGAACGACTGTAATGAGCTAGCAAATGAGTGAATAGCAAGGAAAAGGAAATTTAAAAAGAAGTGAACTTTATAGAAGTTGCGAGTCCTGGATTAACACAGTATCAGACCACAGGATAATTTCTTGAGTGCATTAAAAAATTAAAACAAAAAAATCAGCATCTCCAAGTAGGAGACTATTATCTGGGAAACTCTAAAAGCTTTTGATAGCTGGTAGTGACTAATGAATTTTCTTGGTTCCATCTCTTCATTATTATATGTTAAAAAATCAACAATTTTTGTACCAGTTCAGACCCACATTCTGCATAATGGGTTGGAGATAAAGGTGAGCATGTCAGGTGAAATATGAAAGTAATTAAGATTAAAAGCCTGTGATGGCACGTTACATATATAATCTAACAGTTTTATATTTTGGTAAATGCATGGTACTAATTGGAAGAAAAAAGGGGCTAGATTTCTTTTTATTTGTTCATAGATGGATTGTGATATGCAGGAGGGCATCAACTTCCTAAACAACATGCCTCCGGAAACTCTATGAACTTTGATAAATGTTGATGGTTGTAGAGGGGCTTCAGACCTTTCGTTCATGGGGTTGCTGTGAGTGGTGCTTGACTTGAAGGCAATCAACAACAACACAAAACAAAAACATTGTATGTATGCAAATATTTTTATAGGAATTCAAATTTCTGAGGGGGTACTCAGAAATACTCTCCTTATATCATTGCTAAAGCTTGATTGAACCACGTACAAAAATTATGTTCAATCTGGACATTATTCTGTGTCTAGCCTTTCAACTAGAATATGTTCAGTAAGAATATATTCTATTATGTTCAGTAGGAACATATTCTACTCTGTTCTACTTTAGAATATGTTCCTATAGGTCACAAACTTACAAAGTAGCTATGAGAAGAACAACTATGACTACATAAATCACTTACCTTCCTTCACTCAACTAATAAATACTTTAATGCTTGCTTTGCACATTATAGTGCTATATGGAAGGTCAAAGAGGTCTGATGGCATAGTGCATAGTATGTTGAGGCTGTTAACCAATAATTCTGAGTTTCAAATGACCATCTACTCTGAGGGAGAAAGATGGTCAGTCTCCTCACAAATATTTACATCCTGGGAAATTTGATAGAGGTTCACTATGATTGAGCTTGATAGCAGGGGTTTTTACAGGGGATATTAAAGAAGATTATGAAAGGACTCTAAAAAGTGTTTTTATTATTCAGATTTATGCAAATAAAATTTGGGAAAAAAATAAACTTTAAAAATATGTAAGATTTTCTTTAAGACTAGATATATGATTTTGAAGTTTCCCAGAAATTAATGAATATAAAAAAACTGAGGAAAAACTACTATTGAAGATAGTTAATATCAAGGCCTTAAATGTATATTAGCTATTTAAACTTTATAAAAGCAATTTTTAAATGATGTTTTAAAAAAACTTTATAAATTTTAAAAGATAAACTTTGAAAATAATCCTTCATGGTCTCTGAGGTTAACCAATTAACTAAGGTTAACCAGTTAACAAAGGTTAACTGCAGCTTAATCAGTCAAAAATATTAATAGCTTAATAACTTATTAGAAAACTGAATAATACTATTAATGTAATAAATATAATAAAGGCACACTTAAGTAGATATTGATCATGACTGTTCAAAGACTACATAAATGATGAATGCTGTCAAACTTAAGTTCAAGTACACCCATATGATTGCTGTTGTTGTTATGTACCATTGAGTCTTCACTGACTCATAGATGACCCTCTAGTGGGTTTTCAGAGACAGTAAGTCCCATGGATTGAGATTACCCTTCCTTCTCCCACAGAGCAACTGGTGGATTCGAACCATGTTCCTTTGGATTAGCAACACAACTCTTTACCATTAAGCTACCAGAGCTTTCTGTACATGCCTAGATGGTGTGTGTGTGTGTGTGTGTGTGTGTGTGTGTGTTGTTTACCATAAAGTCAGAACCTACTTATGGCTGGCCCTCTGTGGTTTTCAGAGCCAGTTACTTGCTCATGGAGCAGCTGGTGGCCTTGGACTGTGTGACTTTAGGATTGCCGTTTAGTTTCTTGTCACTAAGCCATCAGAGCTCCCTGTTGTTGTTATTATGTGCTGTCGAGTCACCTACAACTCATAGTGACCCTATGTACAGCAGCTCTGAAGCTGCCTTGTCCTGAGCCAGTCTCACTGATTTTGACACACCTATCCCCATTGTCCCAATAACTCTATCAATCCATCTCATCTGGGGTTTTCCTCTCCTGCACTGTCCCTCCACTAGGTAGTATGAAATAAAAGTAGGTATATAACATTATCTCTTACCTTTATGCTTTGAATGAGTCTGTTATCTTCTGGAACACTGGGATTAATTGCAATGACAATGCCATCATACCCATTGTTGTTTAAAGTTACCATTGAGTTGTTCACTCCAAGAAAGAGTTGAAAGGCTAGACACAGAATAATGTTCAGACTGAACATCATTTTTGCATGTGTTACAATCAACCTTTAAAAAATAATATAAGGAAAATATTTATGTGTACACTCAACTCAGAAGTTTGAATCCACATATAAATATTTGCATACATATATAAGAGTATTAAAATAATCACAATACACTGCCTTATCTTACTTATTCTAAAAATTTAGTTAAGTAACAATAGGAATCTTCCTGAACACATTTACCATACTTTCTATAGCAGCTGAAAGATTAATTATTCATTGAATTTCATGCCTTCCAGACTGTTTTTGTAGTCTCATCATGTCCTGGTTATAGTTGGCATTGTCATCACCGTGTATGTCCTGTATGTAGAAAAGCAGTGAAGGAGGGTGAGGAACTGAAGATAAAAGAACTGGGGAAAAAGAAGAGAAAGGCTATTTAAAAGAACCTGAAGTGAGAGTGGAGGTTAATGAGGTGCTTATGTTCTCTCTTTAGATAGGGGAGATAAAACCAGATATGCCAGGGGCACTGGTGAGTCAAGAGGAAAATGGGTTTCATGACTACTTTCTGTGAGAACTACTGGTGTGTTTCAACTTTCAAATATATTAGTTCCTTCAAGATCTGCTGTTACTTGAAACTTCAATATGCTTCAATTAAGATTTTTTTTTTAAGCACAAATATGCTTCTGTTCCTTGCCTTCAAATAATTGTTTGCAGAGCACTATGACCTGGATTCTGGAGTCTAAACCTATGCCTTGTCTTAGTTATTTAACAGTATTATTATTATTTGACTTTTTAAAAATATAGGTTTCTCTTGTATAATATAGTAATAATTAGGAGGTTATGAAAAAAATTAAACTAATATATGAAGAATTTTGTATAGTTCTGGCCTAGTTATAAAAAAAGAGTTACAGATGATACTAGGAAGCTAAATGTTAGGGAACATATACTTTATAGTGTAATGAATTAGAGCTGAGGTCATATTTTAGGTGATAGACATATTTTGTATGGTAAAATCAGAAAAGAATTTTTGGTCATGTTATGCCTTAGGAAATTGAATCATGGAGAAGTTGTTTAATTTAATTAATGAAATAGTTTCTAAGAGTCATTTAATATATTTACTTTATCCTACATTATATTATCAGGAAAGGGCAAGTAATGCACTGGAACTTAAGTCTTCCAGTTTTTTTTTTTTTTGTGTGTGTGTGTTTTAAATTTTATTTTATGTTATTTTTGTGTGCGTGTACCGTCAAATCAGATCTGACTGGTACAGGAGGAGATTGCCCCTCCTTCACCGGCAGAGCATCTGGTGGATTCGAACCATGTGCCTCTGGGATTGTAGTTGCAGCTCCTTGCCACTAGGCCACTAGAGCTCCCCAAGTCTTCCAGTTTTAATCTGTGTTTAGAAGGATTGAAAGGGTAATCAGTTACTGCCAGACTTTAAAATTATTTTCAAAGCATTTTATGCTAAGCAATAATTTTTAAATCTAGTTTGTGTTCAAACAAAAGGTTAAGCACAATGTAAATATTTCTAAATTAATTATTCTATTTTTAATCAAACCTTTCAATAACATAGTCTTAAAATATATCTAAAATGGAATTGAAAATAGCAGTAAAATCCAAAAAGTTACGTATTTCTATAAAATTAACCTCTAACCAAATTTCCTTAAGTGATCTTCATTAAGACTGATTTTTGTACTTCTCCCACTGCCTCTTCTTCCTGGGAGATACTGTCTAGAAGCCACATGGAAAGAGGGTGAGATTTGAAGGACAGTATTGATATTAGGTTTAAAATAAACTTTCACAAAATTTTACTACTTTTCAAAGAGCAAAATAAAAACCTGCTAAAAGCAAATGCCATTTTGTAATCTGAGATCTAAGGAAGGAAATGTTACAAAAGCTCTACATTGATATGGTCCACTGATTTAGAGGTTTCTGAGATGTCACAACCTTATATACCTACTAATGCTCCAGTAAATCACTCTTCTTTTTATTGTTATGTGACATCAAGTTGGAATTGACCCATAGCGGACCCTCCAGTGGGTATTCAGAGACAGTGAATCACACAGGAGAAAATTGTCAATCTTTTTTCTGTGTGCTTCATGGAAGTTCAAAAGTGGAAGTTTTGAACTGTGTTTCTTCTGGTTGACAGCGCAGTTTGTAGGGAGGCACCAGAGCTCCCTAATAATTGTTAGGTGTCATAAACTCATTACTATCTAGTTGGATCCATTCATAGCTGACCCTGCAGAGAATTTTCAGAGGCATCCACTTCCTAAATATCATGTCTCCAGAAACTCTTTGAATTTTGATATATATCAATAGTTGTAGAGGAGCTTCAGGTCTTTTGTTCATGTATTCCTATGAGTTGTTTTTACTCGAAGGCAATCAACAACAAAAATCACATAGGAAAAGATCTCCCTTCTTTTTCCCAAGTTGCTGCTGGTGGATTTGAAAACTTTAGGTTAGAAGCTCAATTGCCTATGGACTATGCCAGATGCCACAGCTAATTTTTGTACATTATGTAGAATTAATCAACATACTGGTTATTATGTAAGCTTTAAACACTGAGGAATTTAGTGAATGGCAGCTTCATTTCTGTGTAGCTATTTCTCTCTCTCTTTTTACCATTAAGTCTGAACTGACACATAACTGACCCTCTATTGGATTTTGGAGACTGTAACTCGAATGAGAGAAAATTGACCCTTTTTCTCCAGTCACATCACTAGTGGATTCAAATGTCCAGAATTCAAAACTGTCAGCCTTTGAATTAGCAAAGTGCAACTTCCTACAGACTAGAGTACCTGAGTTTCCTCCTAAATGGACACTCCCTCTGAGGTTTCTTTCTCAGTTCTTTGCTTCTTTCGTCACCTTTGGAATGCCATTCTATTTTGTACAAATATCTATGTCCTGCATTTGTGAATTGGCCTTTTTATTTTTTGTATTTATTCCTCCATTCAGTCTACTTAGCAAACCTTTACTTTGTGTCAAGCACTTTACTAGGCATGTGTATATATAATAATTGAGTTACAGTTTCTGCTTTTAAGGTTTATATAGGCTTATGTGGATATTAGATTCTAATGAATATTTTGATTGATTTATTGTATTTTCATAGGACACTGAACATTATTTCATATCTCAATGTCAAGAAAACAAAGATTCTTATCACTGGCCGGATAGGTAACATCATGATGGATGGAGAGGAGATTGAAACTGTCAACAGTTTCATCATGCTTAGATCCACAATTAACAAACACCCTTGGTAACAGCAGTCAGGAAAAAAGGACCTCTCCAAATTATTGAGGAATAGCTGAGTTGTTGTTAAGTACTATTGAATTGACTGTGATCATAGCACCCCTGTGAACAACAGGTCAATACCTGCCCTATTTGGCACCATCCTCACAATCTGATAGGTGAGGGAGGAAGGCAAATCTGTGTTTATATTTTGCTTTCTGGTAATATTTAGTTTCTATTTTGATACGAGCGAGATCTCCCCAAGTGATAGTCTTAATTTGATGCTGTATGCTCATTACAGATGTTGGAGATGTCTTTGGAAAGAGAGACAAAGTTTGAATGAGCTAGTAAGGAACAAAGAACCATGGTGAGAACAAGAACTATCTGAATTCTAATTTTGACTTTGCCTTTTCTTTAGCTCTGTAACCATGATGAAATATTTTTTTCCTTTCAAAATTTTTAATTCTTTTATCTCTAAAATGAAAGGGAGTTAAATAATATTTAAGGTTTAAAGAAAATCTGGAAACCAGCTTTAAAAATCTTATTTTCCATTGCAGGATAAAAATACAGTAATAGTTCTTTTCAAAATCACAGTGCTCATTTTTCTTCACAGATTTTTCTATTAAAAACTTCGGATTTTGAAGTCCAGTGTATTTTTCCTTTAAGTGTTTGTTGTTGTTGTTGTTTAAAATAAACCGATAGCAACTTCGAAGCAAACAATCTTGGAAGCAGATGTGGCATCCACTTCTGTAATAGCTTGCCTCCGGAAACTCTGTGAACTTGGAGAAATGATGAAAGTTACACAAGTGTTTAGGTCTTTCATTCACAGTGAGTCGTCTTCGACTTGAAGGCACTTAACAACAACAATGAGGGAGCTTTGTTGGCCCAGTGGACAGAAAGTGATGCTACCAAGCCAAAAGTGGGTGATTTTAATCTGCAGCCCTCTGGCCTGGTTTAAATTGTTTTGAATCAAACATTCTTCTAAGTGGTATAGTACTGGTCTGCCCATTTGCTGTACAGAAGTAACTCGTGGTTGCTGTGATGCTAAACACTGTGACACTGATTTGTCAAATGCAATAATTGTTACTCATGGTGAACAGTATTTGTTGGAGCTCGCTGATTAAAACAAGCTTGAAAGCAGGATTGTCATCCACTTCTAAAATAGCATGTCTCCAGAAACTCTATTAATTTGGGGAAACAATGAAAGTTATATAAGTGCTCAGGTCTTTAGTTCATAGGGTCCTATGAGTTGTTTTCCACTTGACGGCACTTAACAACAACAATAGTGTTGAGAAGCTGGACTTTATTAAGAAAAAGGTGTCATCAAGATAGGAGGAGGACTCTTCAACAGGCTGTGTTATGCAGATGACACAACCTTCCACAAAGGAAGTGAGGATAATTTGAAATGCTAATTGCAGAAGATCAACAACAACAACCTTTAGAATAATTGAATTCTCTACATCATGAAAACAAACAAACAAACAAACAAACAAACAAAATTACCAGTGGTTCAATAGGCAACATAATGATAGAGAAAAGATAAAAACTGACAACAACTTCTTCTTACTTGGATTCAAGGTCAATGTCTTTGGTACCAGTAGTCAAAAAAATCAAAAGACATATTGCATTGGGAAAGTATGCTGTAAGGAACCTCTCCAATGTACACAAATCAGTTACCAACTTCATAAGAATAAGCCTGATAGGACTAGATTGGAGAGATTGAATGATGAATGAATAGTGATAACAGAGATGTAATTTCAAGGAGTTTTACTGTGAAGGAAAACAGAAATGGCAGTAGCTGATACAGTAACAGG